TTAACCCCTTCATGACTGAGCTTGTTTTTAGTTTCTGTTCGTAAATGACTGACACACTTTTGACATTTTTGCTGTGTGATTCTTCCACGTCAGTAATATACTTTCTTACAAAGTGCACCCACGCATATTATATATTGTTTTTTAGAAGACAGATAGACACACATATGTGATTTAAATATGTAGCCCTAACGCCTCACTTAGGACAAATAAAATATAAAAAAAAAGAGAAAAAAACGTTAAAAAAAAAAAGCTTAAAAAAAAAGCTTAAAAAAAATGCAATAAATACATTCATTTATTTGTCCCTTATTTTATTTTATTTTTACACATTTTTTTTTTTACACTTTTTTTTTTTTTTACACTTTTCACTTTTTTTTAAACTTAAAAATTGTATTTTATTTATTATATCAAGCAGTCATTGTGAATTAATCTCACTATTACTGCTTGATAAATTAATAAATTTTTGGTTATTATCAGGCTGCTTCAAACTTCAGAACAGCCGATAATAAGTTAGTGACACTGATCCTGCAGCAGTTCAGGATTCAGCTGTCACTAAAGGTTTTCTGATTGTTGCAACAACGATCAGCAAACAAACATTCTTCTTCCAGGAATAGATACATTGTAGGAATAGACACATTTTGTATCTATTCATGAAAGAAAAAAAAAAAACCAGTATAGCTTGAGAGAGATATCTCTCGATCTATACGAGCTGTCAGAATGCCGGCAAAAGCCGGCATCTGTGTCCGCTTTGCTTTGACTCTCAGACACCCGATATTAAGGTATCGGGTGTCTGAAAAAGGTTAACCCTTTCATTAATGAATGCCTCTGTAGTAAGGGCATCCATTAATGAATGTTAAAAGCTGATTCTCAGCGATTAACAGCCCTCTAAAGCAGCAAATAACTCGTCACGTACAGTGTACGTGACAAGTCATTTGGTCCCTGCACATGTTACATATCGCCGCGAACGTCGGAATGAGAGCAATAATTGTAGGGCTATTAATCACTGATAACACTAAACTGATGAGCAGTAAAAGCTTTTAAAGCGTCACCTATGGTCAATTTTGGGCATGGTAATTTTTTGCGATTTCGCGGGTGCGTGCAATTTTAACGCATGACATGTTTGGTGTCTATTTACCCGACGTGACCCCGCTTTTTATATTTTACCAAAAATATGGGTAATAAATGGGTGTGGCCACTGAGGGGTGAGTTCACTGAGGGGCGCTGTAAAGCTTTCTCGCACAGGGCGCCTAAAGGCCTAAGGCCGGCCCTGCCACCATCAGCACCTGACCTCGCAAATGCTTTTTAGGCTGAATGGGCACACATTCCCACAGGCACACTCCAAAATCTAGAGGAAAGCCTCCCGAGAAGAGACTGTCATACCCGCAAAGGAGTGTGTGGGGGGGTCTCAATATTAATGTGCATGGTTTTGAACTGGGAAGTCCAACATGCTAACACAGGTGGAATTATCCAGTGGCCACATAATAGAAATAAAACCCACAAGGATTTTGAATATATGTAACATAAAAAAAAGGAATACAAGTACTCACCAGCGCTAAAGACGGGATCTTTGGGTTTGCTGAAAAACAGTTAAAAGATGACACAGTTAAAAATTAAAATCTGAATTTTTTTTGTGTATATAAAATAAAGAACTTTACCAAAGTCTGCAATCTCTTTAGACTAGGGAAGCACCGATAAAGGTTTTTTGGTATCGAGAAAGAGGAGCAATATTTTTTTGGTACTTGCAGATACCGAGTAAAAGTTCCTTGTGCCCTGATTATCAGGAAGTCGGGCGGCAGATCATGACCCGTTGCCCGGCTTCCTGATTGCCTGTGAAGCCGGTGTTCTAGCGAAAGAACACCGGATTCAGAGGCTGCCTGGCTTCATGATCAATCAGGATGCGGGTCATTACGTGCCATCCAGCTTCCCGATTGGTTAGTAAGCCAGGCTGCTTAGCAACACGTGAAGCCAGCTTCCTAGCCAATCAGGAAGCCGGGTGGCACATTAGGATCTACCTCCCTGCTTGGCTAGGAAGCTGGCTTCATTTGTTCCTAGGGATCCCGGCTTGCGGGTCATCACCCACCGCCCGGCTTCCTAATTAGAAAGGAATGGAATAATAGTGGATTATGCTGAATTAAAACTGCAGCTCTTCCCCTTATTGACCAAAGCTGAACTTGGAAAATGTGGTGTTAGAGACATGCTCACGCAAGAGCGACCACCACCAAAGCATGCAGCAGAAAAGTACACAGGATACTCTCGCCACCTGACTGGGCTCAGACATCAGGGATAGGGCTCAGCCCATTACCAGGGCCATGAATTATCACAGCAGTTAGGGGCATGCCTTACCCTATGCAAATGCTGACATTGTGAAAGTCAGTGTTTGCATAAACACTTCGGTATTTCAGCCAGGATGTATAATCTGGCATCTTATGGTAACAACTATGTGGTAGAGGAGATTGCGTTAACTTACAGATTGCATGACCACTCTAAAGTAAACCTGTCATAAAAAGAAACAACCAGATGGAACCCAGAGGGGTTGGTACTGTTCTAATGACACAGAACACTCACAATACTTTCACTCATGCTGACCAATATGTTACACCTACAGGATTACTTTACATGTACAAGTTGCTAAAGTCAGCTACATTTGCATATGGCCAGCTGGGATTTTACTAGCTTTTTTTACTAGCTACTACCCACAGAGGAGGGCATTTGGGGGGCTTGCGAATCCCCCTTCATCAGAAGTAACAACAACCATCTTTGGTGGCATGATGGAAAAAGGAATAATGGTTCAGCATATATGTTGAAAGTGCAGGTACCAAACTGACAACCTCTTCATTAAAAAAAAATGCACTTTCAGTGCATGTCCTAATACCGTCAGTGTCTGAGCAGCAGCCAAATCAGCGTTTCTCCCTCTTGGCGGTGACTCAAACCTGGAAGCATCAGAGAAGCAGTAGGCTGGTGGGACCCGGAGTGAGCCAGCTCCAGCTAAGGATTTTAGGGCTTTTAGGTTGACCAGACACTGTTATATTTTTTTTTGGAACGAAAAAAAATAGAACAGATTCCTCTGTCCACAAACTAATCTCCTGCTGTGTCCTTTGTATTCTGACAGCGGCGAGTGTACCACTGTCAGAATACTCGAACAGTGAGGGCACCTAATTGTCTGCCCTCACTGTTCACCTGAAGATTTTCCATCCAGCTTCTTCAATATTTTGATTGAAGGATGCTGGACGGAAGGATGCCGACAGGACCACCCACTGTGCAAATTCCAGCTGGTCTATCAAGTTTTGTTTTTCTGTAAAAGTCAGAGGCAGGGGAAGTAAAGTTCATTTTTGGGATCTGGTCTGATTTAATAAAATTGTTAGCATGCATGTGAACTTGGTCTCCTCCCTTCCCTGTTGTATATCAAAAGTACCCGGTCATCCAGCAATCCACGTTACATACACAATAGGACACCCGTACCAACGCACAACATTTATAAAACACACGGACAGCCGACTTCCTGATTGCATGACACTGTAAACTGTACATCCCAGATAAGGAAGATTCGCTAGACGTGAACTGATGTATTTAAAAGAAATCATAATGGACAATCTCGGGGGAAATTCCAGTACAGGAAACATCCGAATTCCAGACTAAAAATAAAATCCTCGCTCTGGCCGGCAGTGAACGGAATTAACAAGTATGCTCTTCAAGAATGCTGCAAAACATCTCGACTCTCGGCATGACGGGTCTGTAACACATAGCTAAAATAATCCGCCATCAGATGTGTCACGGAGCAGAGATTCTGAACTCTGGATCAGAGGATGTCGCAGTCATTAAATGTAGATGTAAGGGGTTTATTCACTAAAGAGCCAAAAGGATCCAGCAGCTCACTTCAGTCGAACCGAAGGGTTGCTGTACGGGCTATTCACTATAGCCCGTACAGCAGCCGAAGGCGGCCGAGCGGCTCAGCCAAGCCGAAGGCATATGCTTCGGCACGACTGAGCCGAAGTGACAGCCAAGGCGTGGAGAAAGGTCAGCGAAATCGACCGATCTCCTTGCAAATGACAGCTGGGCGGAGCCAGCCGTGATCTCACGGCTCGTCTGCCCAGTTGTAATGACAGATCAGCGTCCCCAAATGACCTGGGGAGGCTGATCTGTCATTAAACAATAACAACTGGGCGGAGCCAGCCGTGAAATCAGCTGCTGGAGCTTCGACTCAGCGGATCTAGATGTTGGATTGGCTGAGTCGAACTCCTTCTGCACTTTGGCCGAAGCAGCTGATATACGGCTGATATCAGCCGTACAAGACTGAAGTGAGTATCCGAACAGCGTTCGGCTCACTTCACTTCGGCTTGGTTATTCACTCGGCCGCCTTCAGCAGCTAAGTTAATAACCCCCTAAAACTCTAACTGGAGGACATTTAGTTTGCTGAAGGTTTGTGAATTATGAACAATTGCCATGTTTTTGTTCTGAACATACAGTTTTCACCTTTTTTTGTAATCCTTTTTATCTCAGTGCTGCTAATGACCTCCATCAACTTCCTGTCTACATGCACTCACTCCAGCATCCTTTCTAGGCCGGCTTCCCGTTTGTGAGATGGCTTGCTCTTAAAACCCATCCTTCCAGCCTCTCTACCCCTCCGCTGCAGCAGTGTGAGGATCCCCCAGTCATCATGTTCTATACATAGTGTATAGGATGTAAGGACACCGAGTGACATACCATCGCTGGAGCGTAGGAAGAGACCAGCAGGAGGGTGCTCTGTCACAGCCGGCCAGCTCCGATGATCGGATGAGTATAACTTATTTTCCTCCTTATTTTCCACTGCAAGGGTCAATAATATTTTCCCCAGAGTTCTAATTTAGCCAGAAAGAAGCTAATGCCAAACATGTGATCGTTGCACAAAAACAGCCTGTATGGCTAAGCAGATCTGTCAGACTATTTGTCGACACTTGTTGTGAGTCCCTGAACCTAATCTTCTATAAACCTAATCTCCTACCTCTCACTGTTTTTCTTGACGCTGGAAGAGCTGCTTGTGGACCCGGCGCGATTCCGGCTACTTTTGGCATCACCAGCACTCTCTCTCCGACCTCCAGGAGAAACACGTTCAGTAGAGTTGGTTCTTTTGACATTACTGAAAGGAAGCAAGGCAAAAGACTGATATAAGAAAATGAGGCGAGCAGCATTAGATATATAATACATTCAATAAAACAAAAACTGCACATTAGACAACACAAGACAACACAAAAAGACTATAATAGGCATCGCACCCCATTATAAGCAAAGCCAAGTGGGCCTCAGGATAGAGATCATACATGCCAAGGCTAAGCCAAGGTTATACAATTGCTAGGCTGGTATTACCAAGTAGCTTTTAATAAGTTGATATTATGACCCCGGGCAGAAAATAAAGGGTTGTATAAACAAGACTCAAAGGGGGGAAATTATCAAATCTGGAGCAGCTGTGCATGGCAACCAATCGGCTTCTCTCTTCAGTTTGTTCAGTTTGGGATTTGAAAATGAAAGAGAGAAGCTGATTGGTCGCCATGCACAGCTGCTCCAGATTTGATAAATTCGCCTCATTACCTTATTGTTGTATTATTCTTATACAAAGTTTTATCGTTTCCACTGCACCTAGAACTGGCTTGATGTCATGAGGTCTCCATGGAATGTTGTTTTGGTTCTACAATGTCCACATGGCAACAAAATTTGGTAAGTATATGTAAACCCCCAATTAAATGACACGTTGTTTCCTGAAGCACTGTGCATCATAAACAATTGTTTCGTATTTTTTTTTTTAAAAAGAAGAACTCCAGGCAAAAGTTTTCTAAACCCTTGCAGTGCAGGAGTAGCCCCACTGCAAGGGTTAAAAGGAGAACTATGGGATCAGGGTTTTTCCCCACAGTTCTCTTAAGGGTCACGGGAGGACACAAACTAGCGACCTCCCGTGACCCAAAGCTCAGTATATCGCGGTGTACTGAGACGCCGCAGCCGGAACTGATCCCGACATCACTGTCTAGATCCACCCAGCTGCGTGATTAACAGCTGGCTCTGCCTATCTAGAGGCAGAGCCATCTGTGCCCGCCCCCTCCCCCGTCCGTTCCGCCAGTCAGCGCCAGAGGATTGGAGCGGGGAGGGAAGGATCCCTGCAGGGAGCCGTGAGTGACAGTCACGGCTCTCTGCAGGGACAGGATTGAGAAGTGAGCGAACGACGGTATGTGTTCACTCACTTCCCGATCTACTGAGCCGACCTGTGACAGTTTCATTGTCACGTGTCGGTTCAGATTATGAGGCTGAGTGAAAATCACTCGCCTCATAGTTCTCCTTTAAGTGCTTGTTTTGGTCTAGGGGAAAAAATAAAACGTTATACTCACCTGATCCTCAGAACCGACTGGCTGCAGCGATCATGTGTCCCTCGGCGCGCTCATGTCCTATACACTGTGTTTTGGACGGTATCTTAGACCATTGCAGCGGAGGGGGAGCGAAGCTGGAAGGCTGTAAGAGCAAGCCAGTATAACTTTTAGCACCTAGAATAAAACCCTTGCAGTGCAGAGGTACCCCCACGCTGCAAGGGAGAAGTAAAGTTTTGCCTGAAGTTCTTCTTTAAATATCTGTCATCTTTTAGCCTCTGTTGTATCTCAGTGCTCTTGCTATCCTGCAGCCTCTTCCTGATAATATGCACGCCAGTGACAGTCTGCATGGCAGTTCTCAGAGCGGGTTTCCTAATAGTGACAGCAAACCAAACCTGCGTCATGTCAGTTGAAATGAACAATTGTTGTTTTCTAAACAGAAGCCAGTGTGACAACGCAGGAGCACAATTAGAAAACACAGCGTTGTCACTTTTAACAGGAAGTGCCTACATGAGGGTTGTCATGGTAGGAATCGTGCGTATTATTTCAATGAATGCCGCAGATTTAAAGGACCTAATGTGAGGTATGAAATGACAGTAACAGGGCAGGGGTGGGCAAATCCGGCCTTCAGCTGTTCTCGAACTACAAATCCCACTATGCCTCTGGGAGCCATGGCTGTAACTGTCAGGCTAGGTTCACACTACGGCGATCCGAGACCGCACGGCAATCGTACAGGAAACCGTGCGGACGGCCGCGCGGTCACAGAATCGCAGACTACCGGCGGTGTCATTATTTTCTAATGGCGCCCCAGACAGATCGCCCTGTGCTACCGCGATACCGCCCGTGCAATTGCGCGTGATCGCGGCTCAAAAAGCCGCGCGGTGCGTGTTGCAAAAAGAGGTACTTGGACCTTTTGTCAGCGATTGCCGCATGGATAGAACACCACTGAAACCAATGGGGCCTCGCGGCAATCGCTGTGAGCAATCGTGCACGATCGCGCGTCCCTGGATCGCTGATATCTGAACCTAGCCTTGGTCTTCATTGTCTCATGGGACTTGCAGTTCCAGAACAGCTGGAGGGCCGGAGTTGCACACCCTGTCCA